TCTCTCTCTCTCTCTCTCTCTCTCTCTCTCCGCTATTACCTTCAGTATGTGTTTTCCCACAATATTCTCCTCCGTCACATTCACCACGTACGTCTCCTGACTGAATCTCGGCGGGTTATCGTTGACGTCCGTAACGACGACACGAAACGAAGAAGAAGACGTCTTCCTGGGAGCGCCCTCGTCACTGCACACGAGAGTGACGTCAATGGTGTCTTGGCGCTCCCTGTCCAACGTTCCGTTCATTATGATCGTAAACTCGTGCGGCCCGATGCGGTTCGTCTGGAAGTTTGGGTGTGCAGAGTGGCACTGGACCTTTCCGCTGTCTCCCGGGTCGTTGTCAGTGGCCTGAAAGGGAAATTGTTCGTTTTTGTAAAGTGTTTTACGGCGCTCGCAACTGCATAAGGTCATATGAGCGTGCGGGATATACCTAATATTTTCAGTTGGTAGGACATTTTGAATTTTGCCCGGGTGGCGGCCGAAGCCTACTCTTATCGATTTTTAGACCACCAAGAGATCTTGCACACGGACCCTCCGAGATTTTTCGCCCTTGTCCGAGAGGGTTAGGTGTAGATCTTTCCTACCAGAAGATCAGGGGTGTGGCTGAAAGACAGCAGTAAGGAGGAGCGACGGAGTAGCAGTAGAAAGACTGCAGAAAGAATCAGGAGCCCAGAGGAAGGGGCAAAGGAGGTGAGGGGGTGGGGACAGAAAGTGGAGACGAAAACAGACGACAGAACATTGCTAGAGAGCAGGAAATGAGAAGAAAATGTTTCGGTCGCTACCCAGATTCGAACCCGGGACCTTTTGAATGAGAGGCCAACACCTTAACCTCTAGTCCACGAGAGCCCCCGCTGAAAGGGAAAGGGGAAACCATAAAAATATTATAGTTATAGCATTGGATTTACACACACTGGTGTCTGGTAAACTGTCAGAAGTGATAGTGAATAAGATAAGATGAGATAGATGAGGTAAGATAAGGTGAGATGAGATGAGACGAAATGAGATGAGATGAGACAAGACAAGACAAAGACAAAGATGAAAACAACGGACAAGAAAAGATTAGATAAGACAAGACAAGACAAGACAAGATAAGATAAAATAAGATCATATAAGGTAAGATCATGTAAGATGACGTTTAATTGATAACTAAAAATAAAAAATTGCTATGGCACGGTGAATTTTAAAAGAAAGTATTTGAAGAAAAGCTGAGGTTAAGAAGCAGACAAACTAATTTTAACAAAATAAAAAAGCAACAATAAAAAAAACTCAACTATGAAACAACCAGTCTCCCCCCCCCCAAAAAAAAAATTAATAAAGATATAAAATGCAATTAAAATCAATTTCATTTCTTCCACTACTCACTGTCAGTTTCCCAACAAACGTCTTGTTCCGGGCTCCCTCGGAGATTCGAACCGTGTTGGCCCGCACCGTCTTCTGTAAGGTTATGGACAGTCTCGGCGCGTTGTTCCCCACGTTGACGATAGAGAGGCTGAGGCGGGCCTCTGTCAGACGCGCAATGTCCCCGCGGTCACGTGCCTCTACCACCGCGGAGAATGTAGACCCGGCGTCGTACTGGGGGGGAGAGAGAATGGAAGATATCAAATAACAAACTAACCAAAAAAAAACACACAAAAAAACAAACAAACCCAAAGACAAACGTTCCTGAAGAAAAACTGAGTAAGTTAAAAAGGAAACAACAACCCTACAAAAAAAAATACAACAAACCAAGAAAGAAAATTTTTTAAACAAATTTGTCATTTTCCCCCCCCCCCCCTCCCTTCATGTTGAGGAAGAGCGATCGAAAGACGCACCCGGGAGGTATATTTTAATTTGCGTCGGTTGAGGTTTTATACGATTTTGCTTTCCCCTCGAAACAATGAAAGACATAAATGACAAGTACAGCATGAAATGCCGAGTCCATGTGTGGAAATAAAACGATCAAACTCTACCTCTAAAGGTGCCTTAATCGTTATCTCTCCAGTCAGTTGTTCCACTGCAAAGAGCTCTCCTCCTCGCTGGTCCTTGGTACTGAATATCAGAGAATACCTGAAAATATACAGAAATGAATGAATGACTGAATGAATGAATGAATGAATGAATGAATAAGTATAAACGAATACATGATCGAATTCATGAAAAATTAAATAAATAAATTGCAACTGCATAAGATCATATGAGCGCCAGAAGATTAGAGGTGTTACAAGAGAGTAACAAACATACAAAAAGAAAAAGGGGAGATAAGGACGATAGATGTTTGATAGGAAAGAAGAAGCAGACCACACCAGAGCACCCACCAACCTCCCGCATGTCCTCCTCTTCCACCACCACCATCACTACCATCACTACCATCACTACCATGACTACCATGACTACCATCACTACCCTCACTACCATCACTATCACCACTACCATCACTACCATCACTATCACCACTACCATCACTACCATCACTATCACCACTACCATCACTACCATCAACCACCATCACCTTAAGAATAATAATAACAACAACAA